GCTTTTTTAGTGCCCCCCAGATTCTCCCCCCCCCCCCCCATGCAATAGAGGGATAGACCTATTCACACAAAGGAATCCCATTGAATAATGTGGGATTATGCAATTGAAGGGCCAAAACTTTCTTGCCTTAGCAGTCCATTGCCTTCCACTGTCCACTTCCATGAGCAGGTTGATGCATCTCCAAAGATCAGAAGGGTCTTCTGGAATATGGCAGCGATACAATGAGCAGAGCAATGCTTTAATAGATTCCCCAGTTTCCTGAAATGGGAATAGCACTCACATTTGACAGCTATTTGCAGAACAGAGTTAAGGTGGCATGGCCAGGTTATTGCAGCGAGGAGTGTAATTTGCTCATGCTGAGATTCTATGTTCATAAGAACCTTTTGTCAGGGGTCAGTCTGTTTGGGGAACAATAGGAGCAAACAGATGTTAGTGCAGGTCTTAATTGGAAATAGACAGTGCTTCTGGAAAGAGCAGGGATATATGTAGGAAAACCTTAGACCTAGTTGCAATTAATAAATCACTTTCTGCTTAGTGAAATCCACTGAGGTATAATGGTTATGGTAAGGTCAGACTATTATTATTCAGGTTTAAATCAACTCTCAGATTTGAAGTTTCCTGGCTTAAACCCAGTAGAAGCCACAGTGAAGCGATGTGTGTCATGGGACATCAAGCGCACATCTTCCTGGACCTGAGGCTCTGAGAACCAAACCTGCACGTGAGCATAGCCTTTCTTGGTCTCTACATTTTGCAAGTGACCACTTGCTTCCTGTTTCACAGATGCAAAAGAAGGGGTTGCCATCACATGATGCTGTAGCCAAGATCCTGCCTGAGAAACATATCATCAGGTATGTCCTTTCTCAGCCTGTGGGCTCTGCAGAACAGCAGTAAACATTGGACTCATGCAGTGATTCCACGTCCGTAGAAAGTAGAGGCTACAGACAAGCCAGGATAGTCAGCCAAGTCAGATAATCAGAACTGTAGTCCAGAAACCAAAAGAAAAGGACAAGTCAAAGAATTAGATGGATCAGAGTCCAGAAAACTGATCTGAAGATCAAGAGCAAGCTTTGAGATTGTTGGATACAGTTGATACACATTCCAATGGAAGCTGTTTCCAGCACTGGGTTATCTCCAAATTGAGAAGACTTCAAGCTTCCATCCCCAACAAAAAGCCATTTGTTGTGCATTTCACCCCCTGGCTGTATTCACACAAATGATTAGTCATTGAATTAATCCATTTGCAGGGTTCACAGAATACAGTCACTCATCAACAAGCCACATTGGTTGCATTACTCCCAGGTAGACGATTATTTCCAAGCAGCTTGTTCTTGCAAGATTGCATTTCTATGCATCTCAGTCCTTTGACCCTCTTCCTAGAGAGGCCATTGCTTCTGAGGGCTTGAACTTTGTCCCAAGGCATCTGGATCACTTCCAAGGGCCAACACTTGTGGATTCATTGCTTGTGAGTTCTATACTGGTTCTTCTTCCATCTTCTGAGAACAATCGTCTGCAAGGAGTACAAAGGATACATGTTTAGGATTGTACAGTTCTTTCTTATGAATTTTCTGTCACGTGGTCCATCCTAAAGACTAGTTCAGAAGCAACTGTGGGCCAAACTACATGTTACAACCAATACAGTTTTCTTAGAACTACAAGATCTGAGCTGCAAAACTCCAAATGAGTGCTAGATGGGCAGCCAAGATGTAAAGTTTCTTGTATCTCTTTACTGCCATCTAATGGACATTTGGACTTTTGCAGCCTGGATCTGGAATCTGCAAGTCTAAATAGGAGCTTTTTTTATTTCTGAAGAGCAAAACTAGTGCATTTATAGTTTCACATTGCACAGAACTACTGGGTGCACAATATACCGTGTATACATGGGGAAAACTGCTTGCAAAAAACTTATGCTAGGGAACACATCTTAATAAACAACAATTAATTAACTGATAAATTGATGTGTGCGTATTAGCAGAAATGGCATAGAAATACGAATCTTTATGCAGCTTTTTTTCCCTTCTGTTTTGCAAGCTGCTGAAGAAACAGATCAAAAGAAACACATGATCAGGAAAAGAAAGAACTAAGCTAAACTGAAACTGAAGGATTTGTCCATCTCTTGTTCTCATATATTCTTTGCTAATTTTGCAGGCCAGTCATTGAAGAGGTCCAAGAACTGGTAAGGCAATTATTATTAATAATAATACATTAATAATTACTATTTAAAATATTACAATATTTTCTTCCTTCCATCCTTTCTTTTATCTTTTTTTTTTTTTTTGCTTTTGAGATGTTGATCAGCATAACATATGGGCATCCATTTATTTTGCAATGAATCAGAAATGTCGACCCCTTTTTCACGGCTGCCGTGAACAACCTACAGAACGTTTTTCAAAAAGAGGGAAGAGAAAAGCAAAGTGTTTGACAAAACTAATCCTTTTCCTCTGACTTGAAAGAACTGCAGAGCTGATTAATAGCATGGCACTAATCCTGCTGTGTGTCTCGCCCTTCGAATTTGTAAAACTATAAGAGAACGTGGAGTCACTTGAAAGGTTACTTTAAAAAAAAAATGGAATAAGATGTGAAATGTTGCCCTCTGCAGCAAAGAATTAAATTAGCAGAAGGGATCTAGCAGGTTGGTAAAAAGAGATTTGAACACATGAAAATCAAGTTTGACTCAGATCAGTAGAAATGCTTGTGAAGGAAGGTGAGAAAGAAAGGGTGGGAAAGCCAAACTGAGGAGAAGAATTTGACTGAAACACTGTTGGCCAGAGTAGATATGATCAGGTTTGTTCATTGTCAGGATTGTCCACAAGGTGTGGTCAAAGAATCAAGATGGTGGCTGCAACGGTGCAATCAAAGCTGTTCGTTCTATATTCAAAGGGTTGTCCAGACCAAAAGGAAGGGTATGAAAGAACAGAGGCCTTCAAACAATTGACTCATAAGGAATTATTTGGATAGCAGATTGCACAGAAAACCATATGATCATTTGGCCCTAGTTTTCTCCTTTGGGGCGAAATGAATTTTGTCTCTTGATATCAATCGCTTCTATATTTTCACCACTTCAAAATCCACTTGTTAAGGCACTCATCAAGCTGCTTAATCTTCCCCAACCCCCCCCAACCAAGAAAAAAATACGAATGAAATGTAGGGTTTTGGAGACCCTAAATGAGGTGCTACATGTGGTCTCTGGATTACTAGTGCCTGACTTAGAAGGATGGGAAAGCATAGTTCTTCAGATGTTGGTGAGCTGAAGTTCTGAAGTTCTCTCACTATTGATCATATTAGCTGGACAGTTGGGCATTATTTATTTGTGATGTACTGCCACAATCAGCTGCAGACTCCATAAAAGCATTAAAATATAATAACGTAAACATATGAAACTTCTAAATCATTGAGTGAAACAGTCAATCAGTAATCACCATATATGGTCCCAAACCCCATCATCTTCCAGCATGAAGACTGAACTCTTCCTCTTAAATAATGATGCTGTGTCCTGATTTCTCTCCAAGAAAAAAGTAGGGAGGACATTCTGGGTTACCAACAGCCTACAAAGCAGTTTTCCCCAGTCTGGGTTGCCTTTAATTCCAGAATTCTCAGCAATGGTCATGTTGGCTGGAGAATTTGGAGAGTTGACCCTACTTCTGGAGAGTTATCCAGTTCAGAGTAGGCAATCTCAAAGCTAGAGTGGAAAACTTAAATAATCCGCTTTTCTTCTCTTGAAAGCAGCCCAGCCTTCATAAAGATTATAGACACAATGAGGTGCATTGGTCTTGACGTTGCACACAACCTCTTGCCTCTTTCTCTATTACCTTCAAGTTTTGAAGGTGTAACACCATGTGGTTGGTTGAAACCTTGGAAAAGGTGAATGGGGAAAAAGTGGATTCGGTTTAAGAAAGAAGCTACTTGGAAACTTGTTTCGACCTTATCTGCTTTCTCATCTTCCCAGCCTGTGGCACTTTTCAGCAGAGGCACAGGGCCACAGGCCAAAAAGGTAGATCCATGAAGCAGCCTGTCTGGAGGAAGGCTGTGCCAATGTCAGAGTTCTGTACCTGTATCAGTTTCTCTCTGGAAGAAACCAAGGATTTTCGCTGGGATGCTCAAGCAATGGGTCAGTATGGCCAGGGTGATCCTGCAGCCAGCAATCTTCAGCAGGCTGCTGCCTTGTCCTAAAGAACAGAAAAGGAGACATCATCCCCATAAATTCCAGGAGACCAGTCTCCTTGGTCTGTAAACAAATAAACCAGCCTTATCTCTTGTTGTCCTGTGGAAGATTTGGCCGAGGCCGAGAAAGCAGAAGGTCACCAGTTTGGCACAGGGAGAGGTCTCCTATGGTCTCACAGCCGTCTTTCCCTAAGGCTGCAGCATCAGCCAGACACCAAGTTTCCTTTTGCTGCCTTCTGCTCCTAGTAAGGGGTTACCTGCTCATTTTGCAATTTTACCTGGGCAGGTACGCTGAATTTCCCTGCTTGCCCAGAAGGATTTTGCTGATCTGAGATGGTGCTAAGCATGCAGGCTTTAAAGGAGTGCAAACCTACAGTTTAGAGCAGTGTTGTCCAAACTTGGCCACTTTAAGATGAGTGGAGTTCAACTCCCAGAATTCCCCAGCCACCCCAGCTGGCCGGGGGATTCCGGGAGGTGGAATCCCCCCCTCTTTTAGTGGCCAAATTTTGACCACAAAGCTCTTAACATGTGGGTTGCTCT